TCTTTCTTTCTTTCTTTCTTTCTTTCTTTCTTTCTTTCTTTCTTTCTTTCTTGTTCTTGGAGATTCTCATTAGGTTGCTCTGGAATAGAACCTACAATGGGAAGCTGAATTTTAATGGTCTCCAGTGGATCTATTGCCTGGCCATTTTGGGGGAATCCCCAGGGATCCCACTGGTTCCCAATTTGTGGGATGTTCAGTGAAGAAAAGAGTTTTATGGTTGAATAGGAATGGGAAACGTGGAGTACTCCTATATGAGAGCTGCCGCCCCATACCTTTGGAAAATCACAGTCCATAGTCACAAATTAATGTCTATGAACAATCTTGCAGACAGATACACACTTTCTTTGGTCTGATCTAGCTTTTCCAAAATTTATTCAAGCATTGGACCCTTTCATCACTGATTCCTACTTAAACTCCATGGACTATGCTTTGGGAAATGCTGAACCAACAGTATATAGCAGCATCTGTCTTATGGCATTTCAAAATTTATATTTCATATTGGATTAGTATTTACCTTCCCACAACCGAATGATGGCCCCCTTTGCACTATTTGAATTGCAGATGGAGAAAGACTGACATTTTCTGAGATCAATGACTGACCCAGCCCTTCAGGCTTCAGTGGCCAGCCCTGCCTGTCTCCTAGGATTCCTTTTCCTCTTCCCTTGGATCTCTTAGCTGGCATAAAAGAATGTTCTTTTTAATATGAGAAACAATTTTTACATGAAAGAACTATCAGATCGTACTTCTGTTTTCTTTACTCAAATATACATGACTAGAATGGGCGGTAGAGAATGGGCAGATGTGAATGAGGATAAAGAAGTAGGTCTAGAAGGAAATAGGGTAATAGAGGACTGTGGCAATCAGGTAGAGGAATTTAAATGTGAAGATGTTAAGAATCAGGAAATGGAACAGCTGCCCTCTTTCTTTTGTTCTTGAGCAGCTCCTTCAAGAGAAAGAAGTAATGCCTGTATTGAAATAGCTCATTTATAATGCACTTGTTTCTTTTTCTTAGATAATGACATGGCTTTAAGCTTGAGCAACACCTAATGTGACCCAGTTGGCTCATGTAAGCCTGTTTCTGCTGTTGATTCGTGCATTGGTAATCCTTGACTTCTTTACCTTTTTCCCATGTGGGGCTTCTGTGCTGGATTCATTGCAACTGTGCCATTTGGTACTCAGCCTCGGCTCCCTTGGCAATAGTCATGAATTTCCTCATTGAACAGGGTGATATCCTTGGAGAATCAAACAGGCCCAAAAAGAACAGTAAGGTTACTAGTATTTTTTTTTTCCATTGGTGCCCAATGGAATTATATCATTGCTTTGAATTTCTCTCCATGAGACTTCTTGTCTGGGGAATATCTATTCCACAATTGATTAAATCCATACCTGCAGGGAATAGAAATACTTTACCAACCATCATTGCTCTGAATACGTTTACCTGTCCCAAGAGTCCGTGAAAGAAATGTGGGAACATTTTAATGCTACCTCTTCCATTGCCTCTGTTAACCCATGTCTTCTTTGGAGAAGAGCTTGCTGTCATGAATGCCCTACAGCTTACCTCTTCAGCCAGGCTGGCTACTTGATGCTTGCCAAACATTTAGTCTTCAGCCCACCCACAACCTAATTCTAATTTCCAAAGCTTCTCCAGTTAAGTTTCTTTTTTTCCTGTGTGTACCTGATCTTGCGATATAGGTCTCAGTGTACTCACCTTTTTATGGGACTTCCAGGAATTTGCTCTCCCACTCAAACCTGAAAGCAGGCTTGTTAAGAAAACCGATTCTTTACAAGCGGCCAGCTAATTTGGAGAGTCAATGTTGGAACCTTCTTAATCTTTTTGTTCCCTTGCACCTTAGCTGTTTCTAGGAGCTCCCTGTGGAACTTGGATGGAAAATGTGGTTGGAATTTCTAAAGGATTCTATTACAGACTGTTGAGTGTGGTACTCCCCAGTGATGAGCTGAGCTGAGTACACAGGTACACCCCACCCACAGGCACACAGGTGTTTTGAGTAGGCTTTAATCATTTCCATGTTTTTGCTGTTTGCTTTATTATCCTTGGTCCTATATTAACAGCTGGCCTTCCCGTTCACAGTTTATCTGCAGGCAGAGAGGGGGCTCAGTCAGACGCGTTTATTCCTGGTAAGAGCTCAAGGCCGCTTTCAATTTATTCGGCTTCTTGTGTATCTTCTTGACGCTTGAATTTCTGACCTTTGTGATTTGGTGCTTATGATTTCTTTTGGGATCTGTGGCTTTTGACCATTTGGAACTTTTTCCTGCTTATAAACTGTTTTCTATCTGAACCTCTTGCTGGGTATACTTTCTGACTTCCACACTCCTTAAAATTTCAAATGAATGATGTTCTTATAAGTTTTGACCCATGTGAACCCCTATCAGCTGGGCTGGGCCACTTAACCTAGGGAGAAGGGAGTTTTGGAATTTTATTTAGAACCAAAAGTCGTTTCTTCGCTTAACAATAACACAGAAGGGGCTCCTTGCTGACAGCAACAAGCCAGATATGGGGCTCGAGCTTACAAACCATGAGATCATGACCTGAGTTGAAGTTGGACGTTCAGTCGACTGAGCCACCCAGGTGCCCCTGGAGGTCATCTTTTGATGGATGGATGGTGGGCAACAGGGAGGACACATTCAAGTGATAGCCTTGGTGCTAAGGTAACTGAAGCACTTGGGTCCATCTGGAGTCGTTTAAATCACTAATTGGCAGATAATGTATATCACATGATAGGGAACCCAGGAGAAGATTTGAAAATATGAGAAGACCCTCATTTAGAAACCTCAATATTCCTCTGATTTTCCTGATAGGTTCTTTAAATTACAGCATAATGAGAAAAGTTAGAGAAGTTAAATTGGGAGTGGATTACAGAAGACCTTTTTCCCCTCCATATCAAAGTTTTTGCTTGAGATAATAGTAAATTTACACGCAAGTATAAGGCAGTAGTATAGAGACATCCCTTGTAAGCTTTTCCTAGTATTCCCTGATGGAAACATTTTGCAAAATTACAGTATAGCATCACGACCAAGGTATTGGCATTCATACAATCCATGGTATCCCGTGCAGCCATTTGTGTGTCTGTATCTTTGTGTGTGTTACATTCTGTACAATTGATTCATCTATGCAGGTTCATGTATCCACCACAGTTAAGATCCCAAACAACTCCAACACTGTTAAGTACCCTTAGTGTCACCTTCTAAAGCCATACTGACTTCTACCTGTCCCTATTCTTTATTTCTTCTTGCCCCAGACCTTTTGCAACTACCAATCTGTCCTCCATTTCTAAAAATTGGTCACTTGAAAACTGTCACACAAATGGATCACACAGTATGTAACCTTTTGGATAAACTTTTTTGTGTCTAATTCCCTGGATATTCAGTCAAGTTTTTGTGTGTATCAAGAGTGAATTCTTGTTCTTGCTGAGAAGTATTCCACAGTTTATGTAACTCTTCATCCCTTGAAGGACATCTGGGCTGATTTCAGTTTTTGGCTATTACAAATAAAATGGCTATGAAAATTCATGTGCAATCTTTTTGTATGAAAATAAGTTTTTATTTCTCTGATAGATGCTTACAAGTGCCTTTGTTGGTTTGTATAGTAGTTGTGTCTTAAGCTTTAAGCAAACTGCCAGACATTTTTCTTTTTTTTTTTTCAGAATGACTGTATCATTTACTTCTCTGACATTTGGTACTGTCACTATTTTTTATTGTAGCCATTCTGACAGGTGTGTAGTAATACCTCATTGTGGTTTTAGTTTGCATTTGAAAAGTGACTAACAAAGCTGAATATCTTTTCACATGATTTTTTGCCATCTGCATATCTTTGTCCGTATACGGTCTCTTCATGTCTTTTGCACATTTTTTAATTAGATTTTTTTTTTACCATTGAGTTATGAGGATTCTCTATATACTCAGAAGTCCTTTGTCACAAATGTGGTTTGCAGATAGCTTCTCCCCATCTGTAACATGTCACTTCATGCTCTTTATATGGGCTTTGACAGAACAAAAAAAATAAATTTTCAATTTTGATGAGGTTCAATTATTTTTCCTTTTATAGATTATAATTTTAGTGTCAAGTCTAGGAACTCTGCATAGCCCTAGATTCCAAAGACATGCCTACCTTTTCTTTTGGTTTTATAGTTTCAGATGGTAACAAGTGTATGATCCATTAGGAGTTAATTTTTATATAAGGTGTAAGGTTTAAGTTGAGATTTTATCCCCCTTGGGGATATCTAGTTGCTCCAGCACTATTGGCTAAAAAAAGATGATTCAATATAAAACTGGCCTGAATTAGCATCAGCAAAATGTTGTTCTTCAATTTGGGCTTGCAATTCTGTTACTCTGATCATAGGTGCTCCTGTTGATTGTGAAGGTTTTAAAGGTCCTGTTGATTGTGAAGATTCTGTAAAGGAAACTTGTGATTGACTCCCACATTTCATGGAAGACCTTCCTGGTAAAGGTTCCAAGTGACTGGAAGGTCAGGTCTGGGGTGGCCTGGTAGCCATTGACTGTAAAACATTACTCTTTCATCACAAGATGGAGTGTAATAAGATGAGTCCCTGGTTCTAATTCCAGAAGGCCAGAAAGACCTTAGAGGTGACTGCATGATCAATAGCGTTGACAAATAGACTTCCCACCTCCAGCCCTGTGGGAGGCCAGTCCTCCTCCCAAGTATTCTCCATGCAGCCTTGATGTCTGAGAAGCCACAGGACAATTGGGTTTTCTAGGATTTCAGTTAATGGACATACCCTCATAAGAATTATCCTGGCTCCTTTTACTTCCAGTTCAAAGGTCTTTCCTCTCAGTTGTCAAAATAAAGGGTGGCAGAAAGGTATTTTTGCAACTCTAATGCCAAAAAGATTTCAGGAGCAGTCAAACCAAATACACACCATTACTGACCAGAGTCAAGAATTACCTTTTCTTGGAAGGGTCTCAAGTTAATTACCCTTTGGACCATTGCCATCCAGATCAGGTACCAGGGGAGCAGTGAGCTGCATGGGAAGCACTACTAAATTACAGCTCCCAGGGCCCAGAATCATTGACTGGGGACCTGAGGTAAAGCCTCTGATGTCTTTGCACTTCAGTTTCCCTTTCCTCACAATGGCAGTAAGACCTGTCTTAGCTTCTTCATTGTGCCACTGTGGGGTTCAAATTAGATACTAAAAGGGACAGTTCTCTGAAAACCTGATAGTTGTCCAGATTAAGAAGGCCTGTGATGTACACACACACACACACACACACACACACACACACACACAGCAGGCTTCCCTGCCTATTTGGTCCCTACCCCCACACTGCCGCAGTGTTCAATTAAAAATTTCCTCTGCCTGCCCCGTCCCGCTGCCACACACACAAAAAGTCTCCTGAAATTAGGCTTATCAATAAAGACCTGAACAGTGTCTGGTAGCAAAGTGCTCAATAAATTATAGCTGTCATAATTACCCTGTGACATTTCATTATACCTTGCCACTCACTAGATGACAGCTTGGTTGGGGGCAATGGTGGGGGTGGCCAACTGTCTACTAGATAGCCGTGTTCCCCTTCTGGAGCGCACAGTCCTGACTGAGAAGGGCTGCCCATACCCATCCTAGACTACATTTCTAAAACCCTTGAAGTTATATGTGGCCATATGGCTGGGTTTAGCCAAAGGAATGTGAAACATAGTCATGGGTGGTACTTAAGACAGTGGCCCTGATGGCTCTCCTCATGCTCTTGCCTCCCAGCTGGATAGCTGAAATGGTGGTGTTGACCAAAGAGACTAGAAGGAATATAAAGAAAAGAGCAGAGTGTCTGTCAGCCTCCCTGACATCCCACAGTGTCTACACAGAGTAGCACTGCTCTGTCAAGCTTTCTATTTGATTAGTTGTATAGTTTGATTTCATTATTTTTTTTTTAACAGAAGTTGCCCTATCCTAAGTCGTGACTCACTTTGTCACTTCATTTTTTATGTGAACATGTGAATGTGTTAGCAGACTTCAGACATGTGACATGTTGTACTTTTATTTTTCCCTTGTGACATGTGAAAATCAAATTACACAGAAAAATAGGGTATGAAGATCTCGGGTTCAAATAAATCTTTGAGAAATAACTTCTGAAAGTACAGTTCTTTCAAGACTGCATTTTTCAAGAATTGCCTTGATTAGGTAAAATGAGTGTCACCTACAAATATTAGCCAGACCAATTTTTGAGATAAGTTTGACAGAAAGCATTTTCTCTCTGAAAGGAGCCTTATCTCATCAGATTTTCTTAATGTCGCCTACATCTGGTGCAGTCACAGAGACTATGAACTCCTCCAATCTTTACTTTTCATTCCTCCTGGGTTTTGTGCAGCCACTGGCCCTTGAGATATCCTAAGTATTTGAACAAACAAAACCCCAGGACTGGGAAATCATAACACATCACGTGGGCAGTTGAGTGACTGTCGCCTCAGCTTCTGAAACCAAAGGGATCCAGGTTTTAGCTCCAGTTTAACCATCTGATCAGTCATGGATCCAGTAAAAACTGACCCAGGACTTTGTTCCCTCAACCAAAAGCAGTCTAATAATAGTAGCCACTTGTGTGGAGTCCATGGGGTAATGCATGCAGATGGCACAGATGCTCAAAATGCACCCAATAAAGTCAGCTATTCTGTTCACAAGTACTTTTGGTAAATAACTGCACTAAAAGCAATTTGAAACTATTTTGCTGCAAGTATAGTTAGACTACCAGCCTAAAACAAATACAATTTCTACTAGGGAGAGTCCTACTTGGTTAGTGATCACTGGGATATATAACTGTGCACATGAGACAGAGAGATAGAGAGAGACAGAGGAAGAGAGACTAAGGGAGGAGGAGGG